CAGCCCCTCTATAAACGTATCAAGCTCATTCTTGAAGCCAGTTAGGGTTTTTTGCCCCCACAGCTCCCCTTGGGAGGCTGTTCCAGAACTTCACTCCTCTGATGGTTAGAAACTGTTGTCTAATTTCAAGCCTAAACTTATTGATGGCCAGTTTATATCCATTTGTTCTTGTGTCAACATTGTCACTTAACTTAAATAACTCCTCCCCCTCCCTGGTATTTATCCCTCTGATGTATTTATAGAGAGCAATCATATCTCCCCTCAGCCTTCATTTGATTAGGCTGAACAAGCCAAGCTCTTTGAGTCTCCTTTCATAAGACAGGTTTTGCATTCCTCAGATCATCCTAGTAGCCCTTCTTTACACCTGTTCCAGTTTGAATTCTTCTTTCTTAAACATAGGAGACCAGAAATGCACACAATACTCCAGATGAGGTCTCACCAGTGCCTTGTATAATGGTACTAACACTTCCCTTTCTCTACTGGAAATACATTGCCTGATGCATCCTAGGACTGCATTAGCCATTTTCACGGCCCCATCACACTGGTGGCTCATAGTCATCCTGTGATCAACCAATGCACCCAGGTCTTTCTCCTCCTCTTTCAATTCCAACTGATAAGTCCCCAGCTTATAGCAAAAATTCTTGTTAGTCCCTACGTGCTTGACCTTGCACTTTGCACTATTAAATTTCATCCCATTTCTATTACTCCAGTTTACAAGGTCATACAGATCTTCTTGTATGATATTCTGGTCCTCCTCCGTATTGGCTATACCTCCCATCTTGTGTCATCTGCAAAACATTTTAGCACATTCCCATTTGTTGTGCCAAGGTCATTAATAAAAATGTTAAATCAGATTGGTCCCAAAACCAATCCCTGAGTAACTCTACTAGGAACGTCTCTCCAGCCTGACAGTTCACCTTTCAGTACAACCCGTTGCAGTCTCCCCTTTAACCAGTTCCTTGTCCACCTTTCAGTTCTCTTATTAATCCCCAGCTCCTCCAATTTAACTATTAATTTCCTGTCTGGAACTGTATCAAATGCCTTCCTGACATCCAGGTAGATGAGATCTACTGCATTTCCTTTGTCAAAAGAAAATCAGTTATCTTCTCAAAGTAAAAGATCAGGTTGGTCTGGTACGATCTACCTTTTGTTGTATTTTATCACAATTACCGTTTACCTTTATGTCTTCAACGATTTTTTCTTTCAAAATTTGTTCCAAGACCTTGCATACAATTGTGGTCAAACTAACAGGCCTGTAGTTTCCCCAATCACATTTTTTCCCTTTCTTAAAAATAGGAACTATATTAGCAACTCTCAAGTCATAGGGCATGACCCCCTGAGTTTACAGATGCATGGAAAGTCCTTGCTATTGGGCTTTCAATTTCATGTGCCAGTTTGTTTAATATACTTGGATGGAGATTATCCAGGCCCCCCAGTTTAGTCCCATTAAGATGTTTGAGTTTGACTTCCACCTTGGACGTGGTAATATGTACACCTCTACCTCAATATAATGCTGTCCTCAGGAGCCAAAAATCTTACCGCGTTATAGGTGAAAATGCGTTATATCAAACTTGCTTTGATCCGCCGGAGTGCGCAGCCCCGCCCCCCCGGAGCACTGCTTTACCACGTTATATCAGAATTTGTGTTATATCGGGTCATGTTATATCGGGGTAGAGGTGTAATTCCATATCCTCGTTCCCATTAGCCAGCTTGCCACTACCCCTAAGATCTTCATTATACTTATTAAAACTGAGGCAATTATTTATTTATGTGTTGGGCCATGCCTAGATTATCATTAATCTCCACCCCGTCCT